CTACTGTAGTCACTTTAAGTAAGTTCCCTGGCCCTAACCCCTAAACCCTTATAGAACCCTTAAAGGAACCCTTATAGATCCCCTGAAGGAACCCTAAACTACAGTAAACTTGCATTAAGCTCCTGAAGAAGAGTTCAGAAGTCCACCCTCCGAGGGCCCGGTCGCACCAGGAGTTTCGACATCTCGCTGGCTTCCTTGAGTTTCTGACGAAGGGGGTGCCAGATTATAGTCGATACTCGGGGTCATGTTAAGTAACTATACTAAAAATAGTATCAATGAATGTAGCATCCGTAGCTTAACAGTGTTTAGGAATAGGTAGCTCTAGACAAACAGTAGCTGAAATGTTGAAGTTTCCCAAAGTGCCACCTGCAAAAAGGGATTCTACGATTTTGCGGTTCAAATGGTATGCGTATAGCGTTTTTGGGAGATTGATTTGAGGTCAAAGCTTAAGGTCCAAATTCGGCTCGTAGGACGAAGAGAGCAGGAACCGTTGTGTTACGGACCTGGTGGAACTCAGCCTAAACCCTATTCAACCCAAGGGGCATGGAGGACAGCCCAGTGGAGCGGCGTCCAACCACTGGCATCCTCCAGAGAGAAAATGGTCAAGGCTGCAGGCTTTTCGGCTTTAGGGCTGCGGGCTTCTCTGCATGTCTTTGGGGTGGCTGCGCATTTCGAGTGAGTCATGCAAAAGTCAGCTAGACAAGGCCTGATGATGAACTTAGAGGAAAGCATTGAGAGCTGCCTCGGTCCTTGACGGGGCTCAGGTATTCAGGCCCGTAGTAGTTCGTGATGGCACCTGTGAAACCTTGTTAGTTCCTGATACTCCAAGCCCCAGACATCCCCAACTCTAAACACCCTTAGTTCGGCGGTATCCCAAGGCAAGGTCCCGGTAGCGGGGAACGGCTCCGTGCTCCAGAAGGTGTCCCACAGCCTACCGGGGCGAACTTTTCTGTTCTCAGGGCTTTAGCTTTTGAATGCTACAGAGGGGGCTTCGGGATTTCAGGTTCTGGGGTTGGGGGCTCCAGCGAACCAGGTGTCCAGATTCTTCTCTGAAGGTCTTGAACGTTGTGCCGTTACGAACACGAGCCCGACAGCCCTTCACATCGTGATGAGACTCAGGAAAGCCTCGTTGCAGCTACACCTTTCATTTTCAAGCGAGGGCTGTACACTTGCAAAGGCTAAAGGAAGACCTGCCGACAGGCAGGGATAACGTTGCTGGGCTGTTTTCCTCATTCGGGGAGTTCGGGAGTCTGTAAGCATGACATTACACCCTTCCACATGCGCGTGCATGTATTCTATGTGCATGCGCATACATGCCTCGGCACCTGAAGTCAAGAGACACCCGCAGCTTTTTTGTACTTCAGGGTTTGGGCTAGATGCAGCTTCAGGACTCTTGTTTGCCTACCTGCTTTTTGTGGGAACGGCTTCACATAGCTTGAGCCCCAATGGCATCAAGCTGTTTTGAAGTTGGTCCAGAAATGCCTTACATTACACGCTGCTACATCAGGCATGTTCAGCAAGCACATTGCAACCTGCACGTCGTTGCGCTGGGCACCCTCCATGAGTCGGGCGTATTGCTCTTGCGCCTGGTTCCCAAGCGACGTTTCGGAGTAAGTGGCAGTAGTAGTGGAGTGCAGTAGCAGCCATAGCAGTAGGAGGAGTGGGATCAGGAGTAGTGGTAGCGGTAGTGGTAGTTGTCGTGGTGTTGATGGTGGAGGTGGTGGTAGTATGAACAGCAGCAGCAGCGACAGCGGCATCAGCAGCAATACTGGTACTAGTCATGCAAGTGATTAGCAGTAGGAGTGGTCGCGACGAGTAGAAGTAGTAGGTTCGGGAGCACGACCAGCAACAGCCGCAACCACTACTGCGGCGGTCGCTGGGATGCTTGCTTGGACCGTAGGAGGCCGATGGTCAACACTAGGCAGCGTGATAACAAAAGTGTTGGTACAAAGACACATGCCGTGTGCTGCTGACAATGCTCCGCTTAGCTTCAAGGCCTTCTATTTTGGGGGTTCCTTATTATAAGTATTGTATAATGGGCCCAAAACATTTTCATTATTCGAGTACTCTATTAGATCGCTTATAGTAGCCCTTGTAGACCCCTTAAAAGGAAGCACTGTTCTGATCATTGAGGCCCCTATACTGTAGTATCCGGATAGTATCCCTCTAGTCCCGGCACAAGAAGCATTTAAAGTGACTTTCGCCTCTTCCTGAACCCCAACATAGAAGCTGAATGCACCATAATGTACCCCAAAACCCAGAAAGGCCCCTTAATCCCGCTCCGCCCGCCCGCCTATCCCAGCCCAACCCTCCGTTCGAGCCCGGCGCCAACACCACCGCAGCTCGGAGCTCCAGGTGCTCCCGGCAATGATCCAGTGCCGTAAGCCCTGGTCGGATGGAGACAGTTGTAATGTAGGGGCCTTAATAATTAGAATAAGGTTTTGGGGTATAGTATACTATCATTGTCAGGATAATGTTAGTACTTTTTTCGGCTGCTGTTACGAATACTGCCCGCGAAGACAAGAGCCTCCCTGGCAGCACTCTTCGGGCCCCACATCAGGTTCCCTTGTCCTAAAAACGGGATTCTCATGAATTCGCACCAAAAGGCTCCAAACACCCGAAGGGAGGAAGCTTGCAAGTGCACGGGCCCTAAGAATTTCAGCAGGGTTTCGGGGTCAAGTAGGCTCCCCCCCAAAATACGTACGGAACCTCAGGAATAAGTGGGTTTTCGAGAGTGATTCGCCGAAAACAACACACAGAGAACCTCGGCGTCCAGAAGAGTTTGCTCAACATCACTCAACATGAACCTATCGGAAATTGTTTAGGCCCCTATAGCAGGCCTTCCTTGTCGCGCCAGGTGAGATCGGGGCATTCTCTTAGAAGGATCTTGACCTGTCTCTGCACGAGCTTTCAGACTGGTGACTGGGGGTCGAAGTCTAGCTGCTAGTCTGGCTAATTTGTCAAGCATTCAGAATCTCAACGGCATTGTTTGGCAGGTAATTTACTGTGTTTGGGGCTGTGACAGCCATTTGATCCGTGCCTTGCCTCTACCCCCGGAGCACCGTGACACCGTCCCCTTCTTTGGGGTTAGGTTTCCCCTTCATCCCAAGCCAGAAGCACCCCAACACTGCCACTCACACTGAACCAACTGCGTTGACCCGCTTGTATAGTGCCAGATGGCCTGTATGCAGATGTAAGCATAAAAAAGGAACATCCTTGAAGACCTTTGAGAACCTAGTGGCCCTAGTGCTAAGTCTCCTGGCCTATGGCCTCAATAGCTCGGGGTATGGTGGTTTTCGACCCGTGTCAGAGAGAGACCCTGCAAGGCGCTGTTCTGTCGCATGGCGAAGACAGCAGAAAATCCCCGGAGCTTCGTACATTGTGGTTGCTGTCCCCTGATGTAGTCTGGCTCCCTTGGCTGCTGTTTGGACTCAGCAAGTAGGGTCAACTAGTGAGATGGTTACGGCTATTAGTTTTGGGATGCGAAGAAGTACACTCAAAAGTCGGAACTCCCGCGCCCACCCTCTGGGATTCCGGCAACGCCCATGTGACCCAGCCGAGATGCCCAAATCAACGGCGTTCGGTCTGGGCTTCGAGGCTCGGTTCTTTCGTGTCTCACATCGGCTTTAAGGCTTTTCTTTGGGTTTGGGACTTTCGGGGCCTCTGGTTGCAGGATTTGCGGCTCGAGGACTCTGGACTTTTTGGGCTGTCAGGAGATTCGCCCCTAGCACCTGCAGGCCGAAACAGGGTCAGTTGACGTAGCGTTCATGAGCATGTCGCGGTATCTTATGAGCTGTGGAAGGCCTGGCTTGGCCTCGAAGTCAGGTGATAGGTGAGCTTGTCCAAATTATGCAAGATGGAACAACAAGCAAAGGAAGAAGTGCTAGGATCTCGGGCCTTTGTAGCAGAGTAATGCAACAAAAGCCGACATTGGTAGGCAAGACAAACGAATCGTTCCTAGAACCGCTAGCACTGCTTTTGTCACTGACCCACTACAAACATGGTAGCGCTGAGGGACACTGCAGTACTTCTTTTTATTTCACTTAAAATGACATCTGTTTGCTTTTGGGGGATTCAAATCTCCTCAACTTGCCCCCATGAAGCGCTCTCGGCTCCCCGCCGTCGTAGTCCTGCTCTTCGACATCCGCCTCTGCCTCCCGAAGCTCTTGGCTTTCGGATTTAGGGCCCTTTAACTTGTTCATGTTGGGATAGGATTAAAAATGTACATTTTTATCCCTTATTGCGTTTAAGTACCCATAAAAATGTAAAATGTTACCCAACTATGACAAAGTCAAAGGATGTCCGAAAAGGGGATTTGGGGATTTGGGGTCTCAGGTTGAAGGTCAGGTGGCTCTGGGGTGACGGATGACAACTCTACGAGGGCCTCAGAGCTCTGAGCCTGGAAGAGGACTTGGAGGTTCATGGAACTTAGTAAGTACAGTTATGAGTACCCTAGTTGGGGTTATAAGTACATATAAGTGTAGTTACCTGAATTATAACCCTAGTTACAAAGTCCCATGAACCTCTAAGGAGACACCACCCAAGCTCTGCGCTCGTAATTTTCCGTCACGGCCCTCGTTTTTCGTCGAAGGCTCACAGGGCCGGGACACCAGGGTCCACTGACTGGAGTTGCTCGCTGCTTCCAGAATGGCAGATTCATTGCACACCTGATGTTTCTGAACCTTAAAACTTGCTGCGGCTGCAACACCAGCGTCCCTCTCTGTACAATGGAAGAGGGCGAAGAGGAAGTCGTGGCAAGGCCGGAAGGGTTTCGGCAGATTCGTCCCAGCTTCAATAAAAAAACCGCAGAGTTTGGCTCGAAATTCGGAGGCTTTGGACTTCAAATGGGTAGTTGACAAAATTGGGGTCCCTTTTTGGGTCCTTATTGTAATACGGCACCTAATATTTAGGGTACCCCAAAAGGGGCCATAATTTTGACAACTACTCAAATGAGCAAGGGACTCTAGGCCCGAAATCCCTCAGACGGAGTGGTCTTGAGTTCAGCACTGGAGGCTGTCCAATGCATCCTGCGGCTCGATCCTCGGCCAAGAAAGGGGAGTTCGATGTTCGAGAGGGGTTGGAAAGAACTAGTAAAGGATTCTTACAGGGTTTCTGCCGGAGTTCTTGTAGGGTGGCTTTAAGTTTTGTTTAGACCCGTTTCATAGGCCCAGGCTGCAGCGGACCCCAATTCTCCACTTGGAACAGCCCCGCGAAACAATCCAAGGAAGCCTCTCCAATAAACAGCTCTGTCTTTGCAATGTCGTCCCACCACTCTCTTAAACCTCAGGTGCGGTCATCTCCGCTGAGATTTCCGCGAGCTTGGGATTGATCTGTGGGCTCCATGTTAGGCCAAGCACCATTGAATTGAAGGAAGTCCAACTGAAACGATTGTTGCAGAGAACTCTCACTTGGAACCACACCATAGATGTCAAGATCAAGCCTCTCACGACCCACTCACGACCCAACGAAGCAACTATGATTTACACAGGTCGAAGGGATATTTCCTCGTCTCACGAATACTTATTGGAAGATCTCGGGACCCACGTGTTTGTCGCTCTCAAACGGCCATGGCACCTGTTCAAAAAGAGGTAGGCGTCCACGCCTCAGGCTCGGATTCTTGGCATAAGTCCCGGTTGCCCGAGTTGGAGAATCCCTACAGTAGCCCTGCGAAGAGTACCCCCCACTAGCCTCCAAACCCTAAATGTCACATAAGCCTACTTACTAAGCTGGGATCCTGGGTTCTTGCAAGCTTAGGCTTTAGGGCATTCGAGTCCAATGACTAAAATGCACCAAACTCACTTCTGTCAACACGCGCCAGAAGTTTTCAACAAGTGGAAGCCACAACACCAAGCACCCAGAACAGAACACACATCAATCCCTGCAGATCCCTGATGCCTAAACTTTGGGGCTGGCTTTACAATACTACTGTTTCCTTATTTGTTGCCGTCGCCTTCTTCTGAAACCACACCGCCAGAGACCAATTGAAATCCAAGTACTGAACACAGAGCCGCCTGCGGGCCATCGGCGTGGACATACGATACTGTAGTAGCAATAGAAGATACCCTAGAAACCGTGGACACCGAAATTGAAATGCCAAACCCCCAACCCTCAGGAGACGATGCCGAAGAACCCCTGCTACTTAATCTCTAAAGTTAGAGGCATATGAAGACCCCAAATATGACCAAATCACCGAATACGGGGCTAAGGTTTTGGGGTATGGTAGAGTATAGTTTTGTTGTAGGGACTTTAAGGGGATAGTACTACTCCAATCTCTGTCTTACACTTTTTAACCGTACGTTTCCGCATTGTGTAAGTTTTTGCCCAGCGTCCCAAGCCAGGCAGGTTCCTGGTCAGGTCGTGGCAAGGGGGTGACCGGCACTTCCCAGACACTCCAACACTGTTTAGTCGGGTTTGTGGTCTAGGATTTTGAGGTTTAGGGGCTAGTTCTTCAATGCTCTTGAAATCATGGGAGGATTGTTAACATGACTTGTGACCTAAGGTCTGTTCTGTACATACAGGCCACACTTAAGCTGTGTAAAACCCTATGACTTAAGATTCCAACTTTACTACAGACTCAAGAGAGAAGGACTTTTCCATCGCTTTTAGGAACATACATCTGCCGGTTCGCTTAGTTTTGGAAGTTCCTTAACCCCTTAAATGTGCAACTCTGCCTCAACACCTTCCTTCCCACATCATGCTGCAGTATCACGAATAGGCTCCCAGTCTTCAGTTGGTTCCTCTTGCGTTCACGGCCTTCTCAGTATCCCTTCACTTTTCTTCTACTTGTCCTACTTGTCGGGTAACATGGGGAACTAAAGGTTAACCTTTTGGTGAAAACAGGCATTATACGGGGACTATACTACCCAAAAAAGGTAACAAGGTTAAAGGGACATTGCTATCAGAATCAAGGCCACGTTTCCCAGGATCCATTTCAAGTAAGGTCAAGCCTTTGGGGGCTGTGGCATCCTGGGTTGTCGAGGCCCCTATAGGAAGTAGGAGCTCTGCAACAAAGTTTGTAGGAACCACTATAGAAGCCCACATAAGAATGCTTATACAACCCCCGCTTCGGAAATGGCTGAAGGCAAGAAGCATCAGATGCAGGGAGCCCCCGAGGTACATCGCATAGAGTCGGCAGAGGGGCAGGCCTGATGGGTTCGGGCTTCAGGGTCTGGGGTTTAGAGCTGTCGAAGGAGAACTGGGTGTCACTCCGATCTGGGGTGTAGGGGTCAGTGTTCAGGATTTGGGGCTTGGGGCCTGGGGGTCGAGGCTTCGAATAGTCGAAGTGCCAGAGGACTGTTGCAGAAAGCTTCCAAGAAAGGAGACCACAAGTCGCAAGATAAGCCGGATGGTCGCAAGAATGATACAGCGTCTCGAAGTTTCAGGTATCTGTACTTTTAACTGGTTATAACCCAGCGAAGGTACTTGTAGCTCTGCTTGCTAAACCTCATGAACCTCCAAGTGCGAAACGTCCAGTCACCAGGTTTCTCTCGTTATCGCGTTTTGCCCAGTAGAAACAATCCGACTTCCTGCGCCTAGGCCAAACTGCCGAAGAGTTGCTGCAAGGACTTGGCAAATCATAGCGACAAGAGCAGCAATCAAAAAATTGCAACCATGGTCACAACATGTCACAACAAATGTAAACAGCATAGTCTAAATAAATAAGCCTGATAGCAACAATGATGATGACGATGATTGGCACCATCTTTGGAATAGTGAGAACAAAACTGAAAGGAATCGGAGCACGACATTCCTTACATGGGGGTTTCGGAAAATAGGGGATCCTAATATAGCACCCTTAAAAGTAGGATCCTTTTTAGAAGGACCCCAATATGAGGTACCCTCTAATTTTCGGAAACTCTTACATGCGGTGCCCCGGCCTATGCCTCGCCCTGCCACCGGAGAGTCCTCGCCAACACGCGTATGAGGGTTTAGGGTTCAGGGGTTTAGGGTTTAGAGTTTAGGATGACCCTCCCCACCACAAACCCTAAAAAACCCTAAACCCCTGACAACTGTACGCCCCAATTCACGTAAGCCCTCTAGCTCCAGAGCCCTCAACACTTGCCTAGACGACAACTATATACAACTACTACTAACACCACTACTACTTCTCCTACTACGACTACTACTACTACTGCTGCTACTGGTACTAGTACTAACAAAACAACGGCTGCTACAGCAAGTCGGGCCGGCAGCCGGGTCCTCACAAACTGCCCAAGGCCCAGGCAGCGAGTGGCCTTGTTTTTGAGTGGTTTCATAGGTTTCCTTTAAGGGATCCTTTGAGAGGGTTTCTTGAAGGGTTACTACAAAGGCTCTATTGGGGTCGAAGATTTTGGGGTTTGGGGTTTAGGGCCTCAAGGTTTGGGGACCTTTAGGGTTTAAGGGCTTGGAGGGGGTTTCGGGGTTTAGACTGCAGGATCAATGTTGGCAGGGCGTACTGAGTGTGGTTTTCAAGGTTGTTGAAGCTTTTGGAGCCAGTGCCATGTTTCTGGTTGAGGCAAGGGACTCGTTGCAAACATGGCCTTACACGACTTTTGAATTTTGTGGGCTGTTCTACAGTTCTACAGACGATGACGACGACAACTGCAAAAGGAATACGAACAACAACAATGCGAGAATAACCAAGAACACGTGCCGCTGTTGCTGCTCCGTGGCCTCTCTCTTGTTGTACTAAACTCTCTACTGCTGCGACTATTTCTCTTGTTTCCGCCGCTGCTGCTGCTGCTGCTGTCACTGCTACTACCAATACCACTACCACAACCACTAGTAAGACTACTACGACGACGACTACTACTACTGCTTCCACTACCACTACTACTGCCACTAGCACTATCACTACCACAACCGACTACTACTGCTACCACTACCACTACCAGTACCACTACCACTACCACTACTCTACGGCTGCTGCTTTTGTTACTACTACTACTACTACTACTACTACTACTACTACTACTACTACTACTACTATTGCAACTACTACTACTGCAACTACTACTACTGCAACTACTTCTACTGCTACTGCTACTACGACTACTACTACTACTACTACTACGACTACTACGACGACGACGACGACGACTACTACTACTACTACTACTACTACTATGACCACCACCACTACTACTAGTCAACGCAAGAAATGCCGATAAGAGTTAGCCATCGCCATGAATGCTGCTGTTTCTACTTCGGCTTCCACACACTTGCATTGTCTGGGTTCGGAAGGAATTGAGGAAAGACCATCTTAACCTTTGTTCTGCAATGGTTCCTGTGAGCACAGCGCGTGGAACAAATGAACAAGGAGTTTGGTACATACACCACGACCCAGATGTTCATGTAGCGACGAAGGACTAGACACTTCTCAGGCTCTTGCGCCGTTGGCCACCATGCGGTGCATCGGCTGCTGTGGTGTAGACGTAAGACCAAACCCTTGGTAGGGCAATGATGGCCCCAGATACGTGGATAGTAGGCTACTCATCATACACAGCCATTGAAGTGCGTAGAGCATGTCATCCGTAACTGGAGCGGAGTGACCTTGGGGAATAGGGGACTGTAGTATTCTAAGCGGGCAGTGGGCCACTTGTCTCACCACGAGGTCCTGTGGATGTCTTTGAACTGGCCTTCGGGTCGGCAGTGTGTGCGTGTGTCTCTGTGTGCCAGTGCAAAGCTTTGCACAAGCACAAACTGACAGGCAAACAAGCTGAAATCAATATCCCCGTTCAGATCCACGGACAGGAGGTCAATGGACTAACATAAACATAGGGGCCTTAATAATTAGAATAGGGCTTTGGGGCCGATTATACTATCATTGTATCAAGGAACCCACAAAATACGATAGGTAATAATTTAAGCCCCTGTAGTGGATTAATGAATCCAGGAGCTTTCAACAGGCAGCCCCAGTAGCCTACACCCTGTGCCAAACGCTACCCCAGACCTTGCATCCCTAAGTAATTGCTGACCCTGACCCACAGTCCAAAACTAATGTAGGAACCTGATTAAGAAACCTTGGGCCTTGACTAGGGTTCCTTATATGAATCCTACTAGTTTGGGGGTTATGGGCCCAGGGTTTCTTGATCAGGTTCCTACATTAGCCAGGATTGGTTCCTATGGCAGTAGCTGGGCTTTAAGTAACCGTGGAGAAAAAGTATAAACTCTTATTTGATAATGGTTCCATTATTACAAAGGTATTGGAGTATGGTACTCCCAAACACAAAACCCTTTATAGAACCCTATAGATCCCTTTTAGGGAACCTTGAAGGATCCCTAATTAGCAGTAGGAAGCCGTTCAGCTCCCGAGCCCACTGCTTGCTAGCGCAGCTGGACGGTATTCCCCCGGCACGGTCGCTGATGCGAATCACCACCTGAAGTCTACTTGAAGGGCTCCTTGCAGGGATCTATAGGGTTTAGGGTTTGGGGTCTACTTGGAGGTTCATGGGACTTAGTAAGTACAGTTATAAATACCTTATCTGGGGTTATAACCAATAAGAAGTATAGTTCGTTACTAAGTCCCATGAACCTCTGAGTAGGCCTTTAGGGGCCACAGCACTGGAAGGCTGGTATGCTTACTTTTTTTTGCAACACGCTTTTCTGGCAAGGGGCTTGAGAAACTTCTGGACTCAATGGGTGTCACAATATTCAGCAACCGCACCGATGGCAACAGCAGCAAGTGCAACAGAAGCAGCAGCAGCAGCAGCAGCAGCAGCAGTAGGAGCACTGTTGGTGCTGTTCGAAGCAGTGTTGTTAGCATGATGAACACTTTCAGCAGATGCATCTCAAGTGCTACTGCTGTGAGCACTACAACCGCCAACTACCACAGTTGCTGCTGCTGCTTCTGCTTTTCTTCTGCTGCCACTACGACCACTGCTACTCCTGCTAGGTGTCAGGCACTGCTGCGGCTGCTGATGCGTGCGACTAGAATCGAAAACCGCAAAATCGAAAGCCCTCTCCGCCTGGCTGTCGTCTGCACACAGGGAGACTTTGATGGGCGCTGCCGAACCACTGGGCCCCTGCAGATGCGAAAGTATCATGAGGTTTTGGGGGCTGTCGGGGCTTGCAGGATCCTGTTCATGAGCATGCAGGAGCATTCAAGCAAGTGCTCAATCCTACGCTCTTTGACAGCCGCGGAAGCTTGGATTTCAATAATGCGTCTGCTTTCAAGCCGGGTTGCACCAACTTGAGCTTCAATCGGGATCAGTTTTTCGAGAGGATCCGTAGGCCTCTTGAAGGCTTGAACAGCTTTTAAAGAGCTTCTTTTCACCAAGTTTTCGAGTACGATCCAGGTGCGCAGTCTTCTTGTCAGTAAGAGGATCAGGGAGGGGATCCCAAAGACTCCACTAGCCCTTAATTATGGAATCGACCTTAAATTGTAGCAGGTTCCTCATGTGATTCACGGTATATTCCTCGATTAAAGGATATTGGAATCCAGGGATTTAGTCATCGATCGGCTGAAGCGAAGCCGAAGCGAAGCCGTCACGCAGGTACAGTAATCCCCGAAGAACCATAGCCTCTCGGATTCCGTGGGCTCTTCAACTCAAAATGTTTCGGGGTTCGAAGAAATCCGCACATAGGCACGTAGGAGTAGGCTCCCGATGGTTCAGGAATCATTAGCAGCGGATCCCTGTCATATTTTGACTGCTGGTCCTGTCCTGTTTTGGAGCCCCCTGCATAGGAGTACACATATTTTTTCATTGTTTCCTTACAAAAGCGGCCTAATCGGGAACGTGCTGTGTCTAAAAACAACTATCTTACACTGTAACCCGCCCTTTACAATGTCTCTATACACCCTTTACATCCCATCCCATACCGAACTACTTAGTCTACGTCCTCCTTATATACACAGCCTGTAAAATGCTCACAACATGTTCTTCTATAATAGAGATAGTTCTAACAATACACTAGTAATAATAACTATTTGTCTGTATCGTTTCCCGAATCCCTGCTTGGAGGTTCATGGGACTTAGTAACTAGGGTTATAATTAAGGTAACTACCCTTATATGTACTTATAATCCCAAGTAAGGTACTCATATGTGTACTTACTATGTCCCATGAACCTCCAAGTGGACCCTAAACCCTAAAGCATATAGATCCCTTTAAGGAAGGAACCCTACCAGATCCCTTGAAGGAGCCTTTTAAGGAGCCCTTTAAGCACTTACTAAGTCCCATGAACCTACCCCCGCTCTGCTCAGGCTTCGCCTCTTCCCTCTGAGACGCCGCCCGTGCACCTGGGAGAAGGGGTTCCGTTAAGGGGTTCCTTAAGGGGATCTATAAGGGATACTATAAGGGCTTTGTATGGGTGGTTGTCGAAGTTATGGTCCCTTTTTGGGTACCGTAAATCATAGGTGCCGTAGTACTGTTGATGGACAAAATCCTGCATGACCCTAAGGACTCTAAACTATGGGAACTATGGCATATTCCTTATAATGAGTAATGCAGGATTTTGTCCATCAGCAGTGTAATAAGGACCCAATAAGGGGACCCTAACTTTGACAACCGCCCTTATATGGGAGTTCCCCAAAATAGGGGACCCTAATATAGTACCCTAAATAGTAGGATCCTTATTATAAGGACCCCCAAATATGGTGCCCCTAATTTTCGGAAACTCCCAAACCCCAAACCCTAAACCCTTTATAGAACCCTTATAGATCCCTTTAAGGAACCCTAAAAGGATCCCTTTAAGGGACCCCCCCCTAATTTTCGGAAAGTCCCATATGAAGATTTGCCAGCGGCTAAACGCTGAGGTAGGGGCCTACAAACTCTGTACTGAACTTAGAGCCCTAGCCAAAAATTATAATTTTAGCTGTTTCTTAGGGATTATCATAACCAAAAATTAAAAATTATTTCTAAGTACCCCTAAGTACTTACGGGGTCATGGGACTTAGGAAACAGGGTTATGAGCAGGGTACTTGTGACTATACTTTAAGACCAGCATGAGTTTCCACAGCGCTTTTGATAGCTCTCTATATGCGGTCGTAGATCTCCCCCAATTTGCCACAGAAACAGCAGGTTGAACTTCCGATTCCTACTAAAGCTTAGGTATTGGGGATCTAGGGTAAGATCCCTTAAAGGAACCCTTATAGATCCCTTTAAAGGAGCCCGATAGAACCCAAGGATCCCTTTAAAGCTTAGGTATTGGGGATCTAAGATGATTATAAGAAGGAGCTCCCAGGATGGCATTGGTAATCATCTAGGCCCTATCCTAAACCCCAAACCCTAAAGGGAACTCCAGAAAGTTGGAATAAACCACTATAATTTACCATAGAAGGGTTAGGATAATCATATTCCAACTTTCTGGCTTTTACCTTATAGACACATTATGGATCCCTTAAAGGAGCCCTTAAGGATCCCTTGTTCTAATCATTTAGGCCCCTGTCCTAAGCCCTAAACCCTAAAGATCCCCTATGTACTCATATAGGATCCCTTACACTATATCTCCCCTTAGAACCGTAATATAACTGATATCTTTCATATTCTCTTGTGTTTTTATATGACTTTTCACTTTCACTTTCAAGGCACGGGATCCATGTCGGATGCAGCCTGTACTGCAACTAAATAAAAGGTGAAACGGTTGAAAGCCTTGGCAACTCCGGGAAAGTTAGCAAGGACAAGTTGCCCCTCAATCTCGATAGCCTCGTGCGCAAGCTGTCTCGTAGCCGTAAGTCCAGGGCAAGCTAAGGGCGGAACAACCAGGAAGGCAGGTCGACCGGCAGACCAAAGCAGCAGGACCCCACGGACAATGTCTGCAAAGAGCCGAAGCCGATGCAGGCAGGGACAGAGCGCGGTGAAGGAGTGTATCGGAGAAGGGCAGACAAGGGAATCGAGTAGGCGGACAGCAAAGAAGCCCCTGACTGTTTTATATGAGCAAAACTACAAACATAATTCCCAAGGAGACTATAGTATAGGAGCCCTGGAAGTCTCTGGGTCTTTGCAGCCGTCAAAAAGAAGCACCCGGGTTGCATGGAGACCGCGATGCCCAGCGCTGCAACATGCGAAAGGGTGTAATAAAGGGGCCTTCATAACCTTTAAAGGGCTCTATATAAGGGTTACTTTAAGGGCTATTATAAGGATTTGCTATAGGGGCCTTAATAATTAGAATACGGTTTGGGGATATAGCATACTGTAATTATAATAAGGAGCCCCCCCCAAATAGTATAGGTAATTGTTAAGGCCTTACTAATCGTTACTCTGAAATACCTGGACCTCAACTGTTCAGGACTTCTTTGATGAGTCGAGCACTTAAGGCTTAAGAGCCATGAAGCCCCGGAAGATGAAACCGGACACCCGCAGCTGGCACCGGGAAAACTAGAACTCCCAAACAGGCTAGAATAGACAGGATAAAATATGGGAGTTTCCGAAAATTGGGGGTACCTTATTTTGGGGTCCCTATAATAAGGATCCTATCATTTAGGGTACTAAATTATCGTCCCCTATTTTCGGAAACCCCCATATAACAAGCATCAAGTACATCATCTTAGAATGCAGACGACACGCTCGATTTTATGGTGCTATAAAGCGGTTGTGTGCTCAAGGTTGAGCGTCGCTGCTGCTTGAGACCGAACTGACGACAGAAAGGTTCTGGTGGCCTCGGGAAAATTTCTGTTCAGGGTGTTGGATTTTGCGGGGCACGGGTAATTTACAAACGGGGGTTCCGCTGTAAGCGTCTGTTCTACAAGACATGCAAGCCAGCACACACCCGCTTAGCAAGGACCACTATCTAAACTCGCAAAGCAAAAAAACTCGAAAGCCCTAAACCTTCCACCTGAGTTTAGTTTTAAGGCAGTTAGGAGCTTGGGATTCGTGTTTCAGGTGTCGAGATGCAGGGGAGCGACTGTTGGACAGGAGCTCCTCCATGATGTAGAACAAGTATCTTGGGACCTCGGCGCGCAAACCCTTTGGGCTTGGTGTCAGCGTCTGGGGTACAGGGTTTTGGGCTCGGGGCTCATGGCTTTCGCCTACATGGAACGTTCATGGATAGTTAGAACTGAGTAGTCAACTGCGATGATTAGATATTGCAGCATTCCTTGCAATCCAGTCCCAGAATGCCCAGGAACTTTCTGACTCCACCTCATGTCCACCTCCTTCCCCACTGACAGATCCATCCCACTTGGGCTTGAACGAACAACGCCCAGCTTCGCTTCCTTGAGTTGGCCTCTGAGCACCGTTACTTCATAAAGGAACCCTTGTAAGAACAACGTGTCTTCTATCCGAGCAGCATGGCAGAACTCAATGTTCCCAGACCTCAGTGTTGACCCATCCGAAAAAAGCAGCCAAAAAAGTAACACCCTTTGAGGCAGTTCGTAGAGCACCGGACCCTGCGTCGGGTTTCGATGAGCCTCCGTCAATGTGTGGATGTCTTGTTCTACTGTACCAGGTTCCCCAGTACTTGGAGGTTCATGGGACTTCGTAATAGTAAGTACAGTTATGAGTACTCTAAATGGGGTCATAGTTAATTATAAGTATAGTTACCCTATTTATAACCCGAGTTACTGTCCCATGAACCTTTAAGTAGCCCCTTAATGATCTGGGTACCCTTTTTCCTACTGATTGGCATTGGTAAGGGAACCCGAGGCGAAAAAGGGCAAAGGGGTACTTCTGGGCAACCTAGTTTAAACCCTTTTCGGGGAGGCTTCTCAAGAACTTCATCAGAAACTCGGTTAGACGTGGGGCAACCTTCTTGCCCTTTCAAGGAAATCGAAGTTTGAACATTCTTGGAGTCCTTAGCAGGTAACCCTAAACCCTCATAGTAACCATAAAAGGGAACAATCATCCTAACTATGGTTGCCTCACTTATATAACCCTGTTACTAAGTCATACAATGACCAAGTACGCCAATAGAACCCTTCTAGAAACCCTTTAAAGAAACCTAAAACAACAAGGGTATTCGGATCTCCATGTAACGACCAAGCTGCGAGTTCTCGGCCTCGATCCGGCAGTGATGCGGCCCTTTGCTTAGAGAAAGTTGTGACGTGCTTTGGGCTGGAGAGCTGTGGACGGTGTATGCCAAACAAGGGTTTAGGGTTTACTGTAGGGGCTTGGGGCCGCTTAAGGTGGGATCCCGGTCCTATGCAGTAAGCTTTGTGAAAGGTGACTCCACCCGCCGACCTGGATCCAGGACAATGGCTGGAGGTTTGGATTACTTAAAAGACCATGGACTTAGTAACTACGGTTGTAAAATACAGTAACTCTACTTACAGTTAGTTCTCACCCAGGTTGAAGGAACATGTCTTTTTACTAAGTATGAGGGAACCAACCCTGAGGAGCGGCCCAGCATACAGAAACCCTAGCATGGAGGCCTGAATAGATGTTTGGGGGCTATGAGGGCTATCATTATTAATGTTACACCCCCAACCTTGAACTTTAAAAGCCCACTTCAAGGATCGACTTGGTAGCCAAGGTCATAAATCCTATTGATAATCTCTTGTCGCTTACGTACTAAGTCCCATGATCCTCCGAGCAAGCCGCCGACTCCTAATCTCGATTTTTCTCAGAAATGCGCCTTGAATCAGATACGTGGGAGTTTCACAACATATAGGCTAGAGGACAACCTAAACGGTCGGCTCCTGATCATGATGATGATGGGCTCCATATGGAACTCTCTTGAAAGATCTGTTCCAGCACAAATCACATATCGTTCGGCTCTATTGGATTGTCTTCTGCTGCTGTATTGCACACGAATAGACTCTTTCTTTGGTGTTCCTGTGAGCTTCAGGAAATTTACCTCAAACGGGAATATAGCAAGCGTTTAGAATCCTTTCCTTTGCATTGTGGCTGAAGCCTGAAACGGAGCCATATAAATTAACGCCCTATCCAGACCCGCAACAACTCCCCAAAGATCCGTTTTCAAAAACTGTTATCGAAGCGTTCCATAAATCTCATAAACTTTTCCCGGACTATAGAGCGGTAATCGAAACCGTCAAAACCCTCATTACGACACTACTATAAGGCCATACTATCCGCAGAAATGGGGGCCTAAATGCTTACCTATACTCTTATTGGGGTTCCTCAATATAAGTATAGTATGATGTACCCCAAAACCCTGTTCTAATTATGCAGCCCTTATAGGACCCTCATACTACTCTGATTATGAAGGCCCCAGTAAGCCCTTATAGGACCCTAATAGTATCCCTTACACGAACCCTTTAAAGGAGCCCTCTTCTACCTATTAATGTCCCTATACTACGGTTGATGATACAAATGCATTACCCAAAATACCAGAAATCCTCATAGTCTAGGGTCGCTAAGGCAAGGCAGGGTTTGCATCATAAACCGTAGGTCTTTCTCCGGGCTGCCGCTCTCAACCTCCGCGATGGCGGCCTGGCAAATCTGCCAGGGATCGCACCTGAGGGCCGGGGTTTTCAAGGGTTCGGGCTTAGGAAGGGTTCAGGGTTTCAGGAGTTAGGGCTTTATTCAGGGATCCTGTAAAGGTTCCTTCAAAAGGGGGATCTATAGGGGTTTAGGGGTTTGTTGCTTTAGGGTTCAGGGCTTCATCGTCATGTGGTTTAGGGTTTCATATAGTTTGGGGTTCAAGGCTTCACGTAGTTTACGAGTCCAGGGCTTCGGGTTTCATAAGGGTTCATGAAAGGCTTGGATATGGCCCCATTGTTGGAAGGGTTCATGCGGGTTCATAAGGTAAGGGGTCATGTGGGTTCACAAGGATTTTGCAAGGGCAATGCTAGGTCTGTCGAAAACAAAAAAATATCGCGAGACCCTAAGCAACAATTTCTATAGGTAGGTTACTGTAGGGTTCTCAGTAAGCCTTCGGAAAAGGGTCGAAGGATTCCCTTTCCTATTGTTCAATGCTGAAAAATTGCAAAAAGCACCCCCCCAACCCCTAAACAAACAACGAAGAGGACGGGGGGAACCGAATTCCTCAATCAGATTTGATATGGTTTTCGCGAAATAATTATCTCAGGGTGGCAGCGGGAAACTTTGGTTATAAGGAAACAATAGTTCGGGTTAAGGCAGTGCTTCCATGAACAATTCTTCACCACCAGTTAAACCCAGAACACAAACCGTTCTTCACCTTTCTTTCGAGTTTCTGTACAGCCATTTATGCAGGTCTGCTACACATTCTTCGGCTGATCCTGCGGAGCACTAGTGGCACTACCAAAGCCATGAATACCCCAGGTCACGACAGATCCATCGCCAAGAATGGCGGCAAAAGAATTGTCAGAGGCTTGGATCTGCTCGACGTTGTTCAACTGATCCTGCACAGAGCTGATGTCGCCACCCCAGCGAGCATCACCCCCAAGTCACGACACTTCCATCACCGAGAATGGCTGCAAATGCTTTGCCCGAGGCTTGGTTCTGCTTTGCATTCTTCAACTGATCCTGCGCAGCACTGGCGTCACCAACATATTGCGCACTGCCCCAGGCCACGACCGATCCATCAGCAAGAATGGCAGCAAAAGCAGCTACAGAGGCTTGGATCTGCTGCACATTCCTCAACTGCTTCTGCACAGCATGACTGCAACCCCCCTTATATGGGTTGCCCCATGTCACGACAGATCCGTTATCAAGAATGGCAGCAAAGGCCGAGCGAGTGGCCTGGATCTGCTGCACGTGCTGCAGCTGAGCCTGCACGGCACTACTGTCACCACCACAGCCAGCATCACCCCAAGTCACGACAGATGCATCGCCAAGAATTGCAGCAAAAGATGAGCCAGTGACTTGGATCTGCTGCACATTCTTCAGCTTTTCCTGCACAGCTCTACTGTCGCCACCATCCGGCGGCTGACCCCAGCTCACGACTCGTCCGTCACCAAGAATTGCGGCAAAAGCCAGTAGACTGGCTTGGATGTGCTGAACATTCTTCAGCTGATCCTGGATATCACGTCCGCGACCACCAAACCAACAACCACCACCGCCCCAGGTGACGACGGACCCATCCCCAAGAATGGCAGCAAATGCAGAATCATTGGCTTGGATCTGCTGCACATTCCTCAACTGCTTCTGCACATCACGACTGCAACCACCGAAGTGTGGTTTGCCCCAGGTCACGACAGATCCGTTATCAAGAATGGCAGCAAAGGCCAAGCGAGTGGCTTGGATCTGCTGCACGTTCTGCAGCTGGGCCTGCACGGCACTGCTGTCGCCACCTTCGGCTCCACCACCCCAAGTCACGACACTTCCATCGCCAAGAATGGCAGCAAAAGCAGACTTAGAGGCTTGGATCTGCCGTACATTCTTCAGCTGATCCCGCGCAGCACTGGCGTCACCACCATAATGCGCACTGCCTGGGCCTCCGCAAAAGCAGCAGCTGTGGCAGATGCTTGCGCTCGGTTGATGTGTAGGGTCAATGAGTCACCATTCCGCAATCCAGAATCTTCTATCGCCGCCCTTACATCCAGAACAACTCCAGATGAGACCATCAGCCGCCCTTTCCCGACTCCAAGAGCAGTCTGTGCCCGGAGCATCAATACCTCGACCTTCTCATTCACGTTTGCTATTACTGCTGCTGCCCTGCCACTGAGCAGTGCGATTTCCACTGTAATCGACATGTCGGACGCCAGACGGAAATGTCGGGCTTTTGAATTGCACGGCGGCTTGCCTTTCAGGCTCAGAGTACCCTACACCCTAAACCCTAAACACCTAAACCGCACAGTTGGTGTTCTGAAGGCTAGAGCCTTGAGAGAGAAGAGGCCAAAGAGGACCATCAAACCCGAAGATGCCCGACCCGGCGTGGTGAGAACCCCAAGTAGGATCCCCTTTCTAGGGTGCTTAGTCCCCTGCGTGGGGTATTGTCCCCATACAGTAACAGGGCTACTATTAAGGGCCTCACATATCTGTATTGTGGATATTATTCAACCGGTACTGAGTGGAGGCAGTACCACACTCTATGAAAGAACTAATGTAGGGGCCTTAACAATTAGAATAGGGTTTGGGGCCCAGTAGACTATAACTTTCATAAGGAACCCCCAAAATAGTATCGATATTTATTTAGGTCCCTATATTACTCAAGAAGAGGGCAAGGCAGCTTTGGCTCCTTCCCGTACACAAACTACGCGGAAGAGTCAACAGCGGAGAACCGAAAGAAAAGCCAGAAGACGAGTCCACGGACCAAAACAACCTGAACCCAAAACCCAATTAATCCCAAACGGGCCTCAAAAGGTAGGATGAAGGCAGGTGGAATATTCCCAAATGAAAGTTCTTATATAAGGGATCCTGAATCCCAGCTACCTTCATCCCACCTTGTGAGGCCTCCGAATGGCATACTGCTACTGGGAGCTCCAAGAGGTAGCGTCATTCAGGGAACAAAGGCCCCAGAAGAAAACTTGCAGCAAAGTTGCTTCAAATCGATGATGCCCACCCGGCTTGGCTCTCTCCTGAATCACGCAAGACAAAGGTCTGAACCAGAAAGTGGGTTGCAATCCTGTTTGTTCTGTTGCTCTGACCAGAACTGCTTTTTTGTGACAATTGGCATCTTCCAATACTTTGTGCTCTCTTCCGGCAACCTAGCTCCTCGATGCTCCCCACAAAATTGGGCTGTTCGCTCGTCTTTGCATTCTTTCTTGGGTGGTGTAGGGGCCTCGTAGTAGGGGTCTAGGGAATCTAAGGGTCAAAATCAACGACTGTAGTTCTACAGATACACAAGCACCTGTGCCCCAAGGGGTGATGTTCTACAACCCAGGGGTCAGAACCCACAAGCTTGCACTTATGGGGGCTACAGATGCCCTAGACCCTAAACGCTTAATGCCCTGACCCCAAGGTCAGACAATCCTAAATCGTCCGCGGCAACTTCTATCTACGCCCCAAACCAAACCCTGGATCTACTGTAGGGGCCTTAGCAAGTAGAGTAAGGTTTTGGGCTACGTGGAACCCCAAAATGGTATTGGCCATAGGCAATAGTTGTTTAAGTCCCTATATTACTCGAGGGTTCGGGGTAGTTGAAAAAAGAGAGCAGTGAGTGTTTCCACATGGGGCAATAGTTCGGAACAGCTATAGCTCCTTCGCGCACAACCCTAGCTATACCTATGACCCCAAGCTCTAAACAATAGTAGCTTGCTAGCCCTTTAGTAGGAGGTCGAGCCCTCAAAATACAGCTCAAACCTAAAACTCCTAATCCCCAAACCCGAGGGCCTCAAATCGCCCTGAAGTTCCAAGACCGTAAGACCCTCACTCTCCCCCGACTCCGAAACCCTAAAACCTAAAACTCTGTCAATAAGATGGAAAACACAGCAACAAAGCGCTGTACAACACACATGAGACACCCAAACAATTTTTGCTATCCTCACGTCATACGACCACATGGAACCACCATCAAAAAACCCATACTAACTCTGACGATAGCAAACCAGAAAACATGCAAAACACAGAAACGACCACTTAAACCCACGATGTAAAACTTGGAAACCTGGAGAAAATCCGTTCAACAAGACCCATACCTCAACTTACAAGGGATCCATATGGGAGTTTCCGAAAAGAGGGGATCCCAATATAGTGCACCAAATAGTAGGATCCTCATTATAAGGATCCCGAAACAAGGTACTTCTAATTTTCGGAAACTCTCATTCCTCAATTTAGGCCTCCTGAGAGCCTCTGGGAACCCCAAAACCCCAAACCCATAGAGCCCAGTACAGTGTAGAGGCCGCAATAGGGTTGCTTTAAAAGGGTCTATAAGGGTTACTATAAGGGATCTAAAAGGGTAGTATATAATGTAGGGCACTCAAAAATTAGAAAAGGGTTTGGGGGTATACCTTACTATGATTATCATAAGGAACCCCAGGACCCTATTCTTTGAGGCTCCTACATTAAGCCAACCCTTCACGAAACTCCCAAAACCCTTACCTGGAGGTTCATGGGACTTAGTAAGTACAGATATAAGTACCCTAACTGGGATTATAAGTACATACAAGTGTAGTTACCTTAATCACAACCCTAGTTGCTAAGTCCCACGAACCTCTAAGAACCCTTAGAAAACAGGCCCAGGGGCTCTTCGGAGGCGTTCTTCACGCGCACCTCGAAGTGGGACCTCTGGAAGGAGCCCAGCGAGGATAATAAAAGCGGAGGGCTTTTTCAAGGGTTTCTTAAAGGGTATAGTCGGGGTTTAAGTTCGGGCCGTTAAAGGCTTGCATAGGTTTTAATATGGAGCCACCAAAATAGTGTAGGTACGTATTAGGGCCCCTATAGTAAGGCTTTCGAATCTAAAGTTTTCAAGACAGAGCCGAGCTGTTTCTCAGTCAGGGTTCTTCAAAGGTCTAAAAGCCTGTGTTTTATCATTGTCCAGCCGCCTTTGAGCGTTTGATAAGCTAGGCTGTCGAGGTGCTCTTGGAGTTTGTGTGGGTTTATATCAGTTTATATCGCCTTCTAGACCTAAGAGTAACCCAGGAATAAAAAGGGTGCCCTTTTTGGTTTAAAGGGGGTTATAAGGGAACCGAAACCCTCAAAAAGGGAATAAGGGCCTACTCTGGGTCCTAGCCTTTTGAGTCCGGCCTTTGGACTCATCGTTCTGGATGTTTATTGAAGAACAAAATGATTCTCACGACGTTGCTGAAAGAGGCCATGAGCCAGACGAGTGCTACATACAACACTAAGTCTCTCAAAAACGAGGCTAGGAATTACGCTGGTCTGCTGCCACTGTAGTAACGCCACGATTCTTATCTTCTTCCCCAGTGCTTGGGCTCCTTTTCGGCTTTAGTGGCTGTGCACAGGCGGGGGATGGCATGAGGTGCATGTGATGGCATCTAGCTGAGGAGAGTTTCGGAAAAAGTTCCTCCGTATCACCCGAATAATACTAACAGTACCCTTTTTCCTACTGATTGGCTTTGGCTTTGATAGAGGAACCCAAAAAGAAAAAAGGGAAACGGGCACTGCTGGGCAACCTAGTTACCGGTGTTCATTGTTCCTTTTCCTTTAGCATCTCTGTATGGCTACTAGACCCGGAATGAGACGGAGCCGAGGAATCCTGAATACCCTCCAAAAGTCCCCGAAGGTTTCATCGCAAAGACCTGATGCCTAATATAGGGGCCTTAATGATTAGAATAGGGTTTTGGGACTCATTATAGTATATTTATAATAGGGAATCCCCAAAACAGTGTAGGTAATTATAAAGGCCCGTATATTAGACTTCAGCACATTCACAAGAGTGCCCAGAACCGTGGCCTACTGTTCTCTCAATCTTTGTTTGATAAGAAGAGCCTCAGCATTGCGTCCTTCAGTACCGAGTACTCTAAATTTGAACATCACAGGAGTGCACTGCAGGCCGACTCAGCTCTAATTTTCTGGTGTTGCCAGAATGCACCGTGTATCTCCACCTCATCCAGTTCTCACTGTTCTTTGAAGCATCATCAATTTGGGGGTCTTCCAGTTGGCCTTTTGTTTCCCTTCATGGGACTTTTAAGATAGAGCACCTAAGTCCTGTAAAATCCTGTAAAAGCTTGAAACGAGGGCAGCAAGGTTGCCATTGTAGGTGCTGAGCCTTTGAAAGGAACCCTTCCTTAGTTGTTGAGTTCATAAGCCCCCAAAAGTGTACACTTTCAGTTTTACAGCGGGTAATATTACCCCAAGAAGTGTAAAGTGTATCCACTCAGCTAGTAAGCTTCTATTTCCCAAAAAACAGGTAGGTTCGTCATCTTGCGAGGTAGGCGGCATCAAGATCTCCGTGAGCACCCGGGAGCGTAAGAAGGTCTGGTGCGGCTCAGGGCTTCTGGTTCCGGGATTGGCTTACCTTTGGTTAGTAGGGAATGGAGGAATTATAGCTACTATTACTACCACTCTTCCATTCCCTACTAACCAACGGTAAGTTGGGTGTAATATAGGGGCCTTACTAATTTGAATAGGGTTTTGGGGCCCGGATTTTGAAGCAGGGTGATAACATCTGCTTGTTCTACTGAATGGGCCCAGATATTGAATCCCCGACACCAAATTCCCAAGCCCAGCCCTAACGCCCGAAACGCTTCTGCTGATAGGGAAACTCTGCATTACCTCGGGTGCCCTACACTAAGAGAAGTGTGGCCCATGCCATGCTAGGCTTTGTGCAGGATCTTGTTGACCGTTTCGGTTCAGGGTTCGGCGATCAAGTCTTCGAGTGCTGATACTCGAAAACTGAGATTCAGGCATCGTAAGGGATTGTGGTGAGGCTGTGAGGATGCCGACTAACCCAGCGAACATGAGGATCCAAAACACATCGAAGCTGGGTTCGGGCATGCTTTTACTCCTTAGCCTCCGACCTGCTGCTTCCTGGACGAGCACGACAATCACGGGCTACGGTCTGTGTGCTACAGTAGCAAGTATTGGCGACCTCCTGCTCAAGCTGCTTCAATTCGGCCAAGAAGCCCCCTACAATCTTCAAGTGCAGCGACTTCCTTGCTCGGCGATTGGTGCCGCTCTCGCCTCCGCGCCTCTCAGCGTTAAGAAGCAGAACGTGTTTGAGCTCCAATCGCTGCTCTGGGGATAACGCTTTCGCCGGTTGCATACAATGGCCCGGGGGGCCGCCCCTTGCCGGCCTTGGCTTTGGGTGGCCGCCCAAGGACTTGGGCGGCCTTGGCTTTGGCGGGTGGCCCGCCGTTGGCGGCTTTGGCCGGTTGCCCCCCCCTTTGGCCTTGGCCGGGGCTGGGAAGATGAGGCCGCGTTCATTCAAGTTCGACGCGAACGATGGACGGACTAGGGCAAGAGGGATGGACGGACGAATGAGCATGCAAACGTAGCGACGCGCGGTTCTTAAGGTAGTGCAGGATTCCTATCATCAACCGTAGGGACCACAAAAGGGACCATAATTTTGAGAACCCTTTATGGAACCCCTATTCTAATTACTCCGAAGTCCGCGCCCATCCGAAGCTTTGGGCCCAAAACCCTGAAACCCCCTAAACCCTTACAGAGCCCTTTAAAGGAACCCTAAACCCTAAACCCTTAAAGGGCCATAATTTTAAGCACCACCCACCTCCGCCCAAAGCTCCACAGCCTCCAAGTCCATGCCGGGCTCTTCCTGGCGTTCAATGGCAGGGAAGGATTAGGACCATGGGCCCGTACATAGACTCTTAAGGGTCCCTAGAATTCCCTCAAAAAAGCCAAAGGGTCCATATTAGGGGCCCATACTTCCAAACTTAGACTTTTGCGTTCAGTGGCAGGGAAGGATTAGGATGTAGGGGTTAGGGTCTCTAGGGTGTAGGGGGCTTAGGGTTGAGGGCTCGGATCTTTGGGAGATCGGCGATGCCCAAAAGGGTTCTATACAGGGGTCTATAAGGTTCCTTAAAGGGCTCCTTTAAGGGTTCAGGGTTCCTGTAGTCTAAGGGTCCATATAAGGGGCCCATACTTCCAACCTTAGACTGTTGCGTTCAGTGGTAGGGAAGGATTAGGATTTAGGAGTTGGGGTTTAGGGGGTTTAGGGTTGAGGGCTTGGAACATCAAGTTAAGGAGATCAAGAAGCCATCAGGGTCTTTGGGGTGGTACCCCATCTTTGTGGATGTCCTTCGGGTTCGATTTGTTTGCGCCATGAAGTGACAAGCTCCAACATGAGGGCTGTAAGTTCCCAAGCGTGCTGGCGCAGTTTCAATTCGACACGATACTGTTGGCCAAATCAAGATACACTTGCCCACCAAACCTGAATTTGAGCCGTTGCTTCGGCCTAGAGCGGAGCGAAGGCAGGGCCTTTCACATGAGCTATTGTGGCGGCCTCACTTATTGGAATTGGGGTTTGGAAGTTTTTTCTACTAGAAATTTAATGAGGAACCCCCCCAAAGCCACACACACATTCACTGTCAAGGTGCTGTCAAAATTCGTACTTGGACTCAAGCACTTGCCCTGTTTGTACAATATGGCGGAATTGATGCTGATTTCGTGGGTCAATGCCAATTCATTGGCATGGCTTCTTATAAATTAAGAGTGCTCACTTCTTTTCTGTTTCAAACACAGCAGCATAATCAAGAATTACATAGCATGGCTTTCCTCAATGACAAACAAGACAAATGGCTTGCTGCCTTTCCGAATGAGACGGCATTCCCCGATAATTTATACTTCATTCCTGATTGGGATCTTCTTGAGGCTTCTAACAACATCCAAAAACTTCGAGTTGAGACTCGACTTGCCTCAAACATCAACCCACATGTTCTGCGTATCACAACTACCGCTTTTTGTGAAGCGGTAGGTCTTAAGGCAAAAACACTTATGAGTAGTCCCTTGTCCGAAAAATGGCCGATTCCGAGATTTAAGAAGAAAGGCGCGCCCATTCCATGGGTTCTTCAAATTAGGGAGATCAAAGATGGCCTTCACCAGCATGTGAACTGCATTTCTCAAATCCCTCTTGAAAAATGGATGTCCATGTCTTCAGTTGAAATTAGAAATACTCTTCCGCCCAAGCCTGGGCCTTTGAAGCGGTTCAGAGCTGCTAAGAAAAGATTGACCAGATTTAAAGATACCCTTGAAAGATACAAGCAAAATCAATTACTTGAAAATGACTTTCGCACACACATCATTCAGCCTGTTTGGGCTTCAACGGAAGCTTGTGCAAGTTGTGGCAAGTTACTCAACTTTTCTGTTGAGCCACGAAACCTCACGCGCCGTTGTCCGAGTCCCTGCGACTTCTGTGTACAGTTGCTAGATTCCTGGTCGGTACAGTACGACTCGATGTTAAACTGCATTGATCAAATCATTGCAGTAATTAGTTAAGACGCCTAGCTCAAAGACAGCTAGCTTATTCAGCGATGCAACACGCATCTTTCGAAGTACTCGCCTCAGACTTCTGTCCGATCCACCCCCCAAAGCCCCATACTAATTATTAAGGCCCCTATAGTAGGTGTAGTAGCGCGTGTAGTTCAAATGCTATAAAGGGGCACTATTCTAGCCAGTTTTTGGCCCCTAAACCCTAAACCGCCAGACTCCTTAGTTTGTGCCTGCTCGGAGCAGTCCGGCGATGGTTCGCAAATGCCACCAGACCCGATCCGCTTTACCGCCTTATGTGGCGGCTTTAACGATCAGAATAGGCTTCCTTTAAGCGGGTTCCTTAAAGCCTTAAAGGGTTCTTGAATGAGGGTTCAGAAAGCGGCCTCAATGAATCGATCAGAACACGTTCTTTTAAAAGGTTTCGTTAGGGGTCTCTATACAAGGGTCAGTATGAAGGTATTTTAGGGGTTGATTCCAAGGGCCGGGTCCCGTACTGAATTGACGGGCGAAAATTCGTTTGGCTGGGCCGGGTCGGAAGGAGCTGGGCGTTTTAGGGTTTAGGGTCTAGGGTGTAGGATTTTGGTGGGCTGTGGGGCCGGTGTTGTTGGGGTTGCTTACACGGCTGGTTTGGGCTGCTGGGACTAAGCTGGTGGGGCTGCTCTCCGGCATCCTGCAACGGACAATGGCTCTCCACCGGCCAGAAAGAGACAAGGCAGCGCTACAAACACACCTCAGAAAGTTTACCGCTTCAGCATGGGTTACCTTAAGAGAGGGAACGCTTTGCTTGCAGCAGAACTGAATCGGGCGCCTTGCTCCGTAAACTTCGCTGGCAAATCCTAAACTCGGACCCTAAACGCCAAACCCTAAACCTGAAACTTTACAGCTTCCAGAAAGAACAAGGTCTGCAATTTGGGGCCTTAATGGCTAAAACAAGGTTTGTGGGTATATTATACTCTCATTATAATAAGGAACGCCCAAAATAGTATGGCTAAATATTTCGGCCCCTATACTAAACCCTCAAAGTAGCGCTTACAGTAATCCTTGTAGACCGTTATAAGGAAACCTATTCTCATTATTTCGGCCCCTATGGCAAGTTGAAAGACATCGATGCCCAGGCGCTTCGGCGAACAGCCGGGGAATGCCTCGGCGGAACAAGGCTTGAAGGGCTTAGTTAAAGGGGCTTTAGAAGGGTTTGTGGGTTATGGGCTTGGGGTTCTAGAAGAGTTCTATAAGGGCTCTTAGCAATAGAGTCGGTGACCTTTAACCTTTCGTGGGGTATTATGATCCGTTTCGGGGTTCTGCATCAAGGATTCTTATGCAAAGTTAGGAGCCAGGCCATAATAGTCACAACAAGGTTCCTTAGATGCCTTATGTAGAGCTTGTGAGGATTTTTAGGGAATTCAGGTTTGGGGGCTTAGGGGTTCAGGGTTCCTTCAAGCGTTCCATAGGCTTCAGGCTAGTTTTTCGGGTTTAAGGCTTCTAGCTCTTGCGTTTTAGGGTTCGGGCGCTGCGTTCAGGGTTTAGGGGTCTAGCTCATACGCTTCCCGTGAGTTTTGACTGCGAGTTGTCCTCACATCGAAATGACGGCTGTGGCTACAAAAACACAACCCTAAACCCTAACCCCAAAAAGAGCCAACAGATCTACTCCCAACTCCAAGCCTTGAAGTTCACCCCGAATCGGCACTGCCACGGGACGCTTGTGGCGCTGGCGAATCTGCAGGATTGCCTTTGCAAGCTGCAGAAAGGGGTTCATCGAAACCAAAAACACTCCAAAATGTGGGACTCCACCATGAATGCAATGCTCATGAAGCCCCGGCTGAATGTGAGAAGGACTGCCCAGACTTTCAAGCCTACACCAAAACAGGCAAAGGCAAGACATGCCAAGCTCCAAGAAAAAATTGGGCATTATAAGATTACACACACACACACACACCCCTAAGCCCCTAAAACCCTAAACTCTAAACCCTTAAACCCCTAAACCCTAAAAACTTGAACCCCCTAAAACCCTAAACCCTAAAACCCTAAACCCTTAAACCCCTAAACCCCTAAAACCTGAACCCCCTAAAACCCTAAACCCCAAAACCCTAAACCCTTAAACCCCTAAACCCCTAAAACCTAAACCCCTAAAACCCTAAACCCCTAAGAGCCGAACTCCCTGAAATCCCCGTAGTTTAGCCCTCCCCTGCCTCCGCGTAGGGAGCCACCTGCGCTGGGTCCGCGAGGCGCAGATCCTCCCCGTCTCTGCTTCGGCTTCTCAAAAGGCTCCTTAAAGGGATCTATGGGGTTCCAAAAAAGGATCTATAGGGTTCCTTAAAGGGATCTATAGGGTTTAGGGTCTACTTGGAAGTTCATGCGACTTAGTAAGTACAGTCATAAGTACCTTAACTCTGGTTATACGCAACAAGAAGTATAGTTAACTTATTTATAACCCTAGTTACTAAGTCCCATGAACCTCCAAGTAGGGGTTTCCTTAAAGGGATCCATAAGGGATCGATAGGGTTCAGGGGTTCTTGGGGGTTCCCTTAATGGGATCCCTGCCAGGGAATGGAAGCCCCAATATTAAAAAAAACAGTGTGCTAAAATGTATACTGAATACCAAGAATACTTGAGCCTAGTATATATGGGTTGAAGTAGGTTTCGTGATATCATATTCACTAAGTCCTGCACGGACAAATCAAAACTGTTTGTCATTGTTTTCGTGCTCTTTCAAAGGCCATACCCCTGGACCCTTACACCATAAACTGCTAAGCGTTAAACACCGTTAATGTAGGGGCCTTCGTAATTCGAACATGGTTTTGGGTTCCTCTGTAGAATCGCTATAGTATGGAACCCTCAGGAATCATAGCGGCAATTATTGAGGCGTCTACATTAAACAAAAGGCCTACAGATCCCACCCTTATAGATCCCTTGACTCCACCCGCTTGAGAACCACAACAAACACAGCACTTTGAATATTCTCTTGGGTTTTAGATGAACAAAAATAAAAAGGGTAGTTGTCAGAATTATGGCATCTTTTTAGGTACCCTAAACAAATATTACAACAACAACAGCAACAACAACATTAACTAAAACAGCAACAACATTAACACCAACAACATTAACAACAACAACAACAACAGCAACAACAACATTAACACCAACAACAACAACAACAGCAACAACAACAACAACGCCAACAACAACACCAACAGCAACAACAACAACAACAGCGACAACAACAACATTAACACCATTAACAACAACAGCAACAACAAGATTAACAACAACAACAACAACACCAACAGCAGCAGCAGCAACAGCAACAACAACAACAACAAGGTTAACAACAACAGCAACACCAGCAACAACAGCATTAACAACAACAACAACAACACTAACACCAACAACATTACCAACAACAACAACAACAGCAATAACAGCAACAACAGCAACATTAACAACAACAACAACAACAGCAACAACAACAACAACAACGCCAACAACAACAACAGCAACAACAACAACAACAGAGACAACAAAACAACAAAAACATTAACACCATTAACAACAACAGCAACAACAAGATTAACAACAACAACAGCAGCAGCAGCAACAGCAACAACAACAACAACAACAAGGTTAACAACAACAGCAACACCAGCAACAACAGCATTAACAACAACACCACTAACACCAACAACATTACCAACAACAACAACAACAACAACAGCAATAACAGCAACAACAGCAACATTAACAACAACAACAACAACAACAGCGACAACAAAAACAACAAAAACATTAACACCATTAACACCAACAGCAACAACAATATTAACAACAACAACAACAGCAGCAGCAGCAGCAACAGCAACAGCAACAACAACATTAACAACACCACCACCAACAACAACAACATTAACAACAACAACAACAACAACAACAACAAGATTAACAACAGCAGCAACACCAGCAACAACAGCATTAACACCAACAACATTAACACCAACAACATTACCAACAACAACAACAACAACACCAATAACAGCAACAACAGCAACATTAACAACAACAACAACAACAACAACAGCAGCGACAACAAAAACAACAAAAACATTAACACCATTAACAACAACAGCAACAACAACAACAACAACAACGCCAACAACAACAACAACAACAACAACAACAACAACAACAACAACAACATTAAAAACAAGAACAAGAACAACAACAACAACAAGGTGCAACCGTACACTGGGTCCCCATTGGCTTTTTGGTTGTCGTTGTCGCCCCCTGGTGCAACCGTGCACTGGGTCCCCACGCCGGCATGTTGAAGGCACTTTGCTTTGCCGCCTTCTGTTTTTCCATGCTTTTCCTATCTGCATTCTGCAGCAAATTACTGCTTCGGCTGCCTTACTTCACACCGACACCGACCCCGTGCGCAACCCGCCCGTGCGCGCTTGGGACGCGCACACGCGCCTTCAGACTTCTTCTTACCCCTCGAGCGTGCCGCGCGAGCCTCGTGCACGGTACCAAACTCACATGCGCGCGCCGGCCGTGCACGCCCCGAGTGCCGCCCGCGCAGGCACCCGCGCGCACCCCGCCGATTTCACAATTGGGAGGTTCCCCCGGCACCTGACCCAAAAAGGGACCATAATTTTGACAACCACCCTTTTTAACATATTTCCTAAGGAGACAAAAGTTGAAGGGCCCCCACACCAAAGGCCTGGCATCCTGCAGAGACCGGTCCCGGAAGGACTGGGCGTGCATGGAATGGAGCTCCTGAAGCTCTGGAACTCGCTCCTGGAGCTGCCACAAGGGCTTCTTAAAAGGCTCCTTAAAGGGATCTATAGGGTTTAGGGTTTAGGGTCTACTTGGAGGACCATGGGACTTGGTGAGTAAGGTTATAAGTATCTTAATTGAGGTTATAAGTAATTATAAGTATGGCCACCTTATCTGTAACCCTAGTTACGAAGTCCCATGATCCTTGAAGCAGGGACTAAGACCAAAGGGGAGGACTTAGGGTGTGGGGTTCAAAGGTTCCCTAAACCCTAAACCCTAAAAGCGTGTAGTAGGGGTTTAGGGGGTTTAGGGGTTTTCCAGTATCATGGGGAAATGGAGGTTAACCCTTGGGATCATATGGGGATTATCGTACCCCTACTCTACTACTAAGGAGTTTCGGGTTTAGGGTTTCGGGGTGTTTCGGGTATTTAAGGGTCTTGTAAGGTGTTTCTGGGAGATTTCTAGGGTTTCTTTACAGGGTTCCTTTAACAGGTTCGAAAAAAAGCTCCTAGGATGCTACTTCACGGGTTCTATCAAGGTTGGGGGTTTTGGGGTTTCGGGTCTAGAGTTTAGGTTGATAAGAGGCCCGTGTGGGTTGTGCTTTGCCGAACGGGCGTGCTGCGGCCGAATGGGGCCTCATGGGGAACCCATTTGCCCCATTTAGGCTCCCTTGGCCCGCGAACGCCAGGGGTCCCCTCCATAAGGGCCCCTTCTCAACCCTGTGAGTTTAGGGTTCAGGATTTTGGGTATCGCGGTTCGGTAGGATGTTTCTGTGATGTGCATGGGGTACTTATAGGGCTTCTGTTAAACATATCTACTGGTCGGGCTCAGGGTTCACATGCGCTATGCTAACCTACTATTCTGCACGGATTGCGGCTACAGGTATTGAACATGTAAACCAGGAGCGTGTTTCTTTGAGCTTCTCGTTTGCAGAGTTCCGCAGCCGAACTTGTATGCCAACTTCGCTGAGCTTGCACTGCACCCGGTTCGTATCTGCACGCGCTTGGAATATTAGTCTCCATGCATCATGTCCGAAACCTTAAACCATGAACCCTCAAACCCAAGAACCTCAAACCCTAAAACACATTAAGCCCTAAACCTCCATAAATGCTGACAAGCCGGAATTCTTTAGTACTCCTCTTCAAACACAAAAGCATGATCAGCCGACACAAAGTGACGACCAGTCCATCAGCGAAATAACCCTAGTTTCTAAGCCTCACGATCCTTTCAGTGGGGCTTGGGGAATACCGACGTCTAGCACGCCCCGAAAACAGCAGGCTTAATCTTAACACAGAAGAAACCTCCGCAGTCCAATTGGTCACCGACGGGTTTCAAACGACCAAACGCAGAATCCAAGCAGAATGAGCTAAAGCAGCAAGCATTACAAACCCTCTTTCTGCTCAGCTGCAGCCCAAAGCTTCCTCCTGTTGCTTGTGCTACTACTCAACTCCTCTTGGTTTCATCGTTCTCTCACTGCACTCTTGCTGTAGTACTTAGCAAGAAGGCTGATAATATCTACACTAATCGTGTGGGTAGGTAACGGCGGAAAGCAACGAACCCTTTGCCACAGGACGATGGGATTCGTAAACCGCAAAGGCCATAAAGCTTCATTACGCAACCCTTTTATCAGGAATCCATGAGCCCTTAACCCAAACCTTAAGCCCGAAATCGGTGTAGTAACAGTAATAGTAAGAGCAGCAGTAACAGCAACAAGAATACCAACAATCAGACGAGTAATACCTACAGTAATAGTAATAGTAACGGTAATGGTAATGTGTGCCCTAAACCCTAAACCCCTAAACCCTATGCCGCCGAAGGCTCCCAGCCCTCCACCCTCTCGATGTGCTTCAGTCGCCGCGCGAAGCGTACCGGAAGCTCCTGAACACGGGTGAAGCGTCTCTGGTCCAAGCGGATTGGGGGTTTAGGGTTTAAGGGCTTCGGGGTTTAGGGCGAGAGAGGGAGGCAGTAGTCCAAAAGGTGCTCAATGCCTGAAGCTTCGTGAGCAACTGCTTTTTTTCATGGACCTGCACTTGCTCTTTTAGCGACGCGGGGTCATAAGGAGGTATAACTCTCCTTGCTTGAATTATAAGCCTGACCCTGCTTCTGGTTCGAAACACTCACGAGCCTTCGAGTGACCCTGTGGCTGAACCACATGGGTGGCTGTCAAAATTAGGGTCCCTTTTTGCGTACCCGAAATAATAGGTGCCGTATTACACCAGGGACCCAAAACGGACCATAATTTTGACAACCACCCACATGGCTCACGGAGTTTTGTGGCTTCCCTCCGAGATGTCGGGGTTAAGGGCTACGAAGTATACCTTTGCCTGGACATGTACTATCAGATCCCAGGGAACAAGCTTCATTCTTGGTACTACTATTAGACGTTATTCGCATGTTGTTGCTATTATTATTATTATTGATATTGTTATTGATATTGGTACTGCTATCGTTACTACTACCACTACCACTACCACTACCACTACCACTACCACTACCACTACCACTACCACTACCACTACTACTGCTACTGCTACTACTACTACTGCTACTGCTACTACTACTACTACTACTACTATACTATACTACTACTACTACTACTACTACTACTACTACTACTACTACTACTACTACTACTACTACTACTACTACTACTACTACTACTTTTACTACTACTACTACTTACTACTACTACTACTTGTTGTCTTTGTTAGTATGATGAATATTTGGGCCATGATTAATATATATATATATATGCTTACATACTTTATATATATATATATACACCTTCATTTTATAGCTCTTATTAATTCTTATTACTATGTCAGGAATGCCGAGCAAGCAAGCGGACACTTGTTTGGATCTGCCAGTGGATGCCTCGTGAACCAGCCGTGCAAGTCTCTGCGGCGACGAGGATGCGCTGACCTGATGCGAGCCACCTAGTCTAGGGGCCTTCTTGTGGTATGTTGTGGGATACTATAAGGGTACGACAGTATAGGTGCCTTAATAATCAGAATAGGCTTTTCGGAGTTCCTTATTATAATTATAGTATAACACCCCCTTACTACATTAGTACTACAGTAGTGCTGTGCCATCACCAAGCCTACGAGCAAAAATGCCCCTACCCCTAGTGCTGCGGCAGGTGCTGCTAGAGCGACGACTGCTTTGGCAACAATGAGACCAGCAACAACTGGGCTTTCAAGTATCCAGGGACAAAAAAAGTATAAACTTTATTTCATAATGGTTCCATTAAGGAAAAAGGTATTAAAGTATGGTACTCCAACGCCCAGACCTCCAGCGCAACTTCACCACAATCATCACCTGCAGCACAACCACAACCACTGCCACCTGCGACAACTGCAGCAACAACACCACTAACACCAGCACAAAGCATGTAGTACGACTTAAAGAACGTGCCACCGACGCATGTTGCTTCTAGTTGACAGGTGCTTCCCCGAATGTCGGAACACAGAAACACCCCAGCAGAGGGATCTCTTAGTCTACTCACAATGTACCCTTCCGGGACCCTACCGGGTCGTACCGATGATCATGACCATCCAGAGTGTCCGTTGTCACCCAATCTCTGAACATGTGGATTCTTACATGCCTCACATCTTGAACCACAGGTCTTCATTCTCGCAAGAGTGACGTGGAACCCAACCAACCCCCATGACCCGAAGTCATACAATGCACAACACCTGACGCGAGCAAACCCCAGGGAAGTAATGACTCTTGATTGATTCAGGGGTCTAGCCTCCTTAATGCCATGTAAGACCTGGCAGCAATCCCGCTGCAACGCTCTTGTAGTCAACGCACTACCGGAGACCTTCGCTGCCCATCTCTCTATGTAGACCAACAAATCCGACTCTCTCGACGCGGATCATGATAAGGATCCCACTGTGGTGGTCCTTATAGATTTCAAGCTTCCTTGCACCCATCTGCAAGAACACCCCCAAACCCTAGAGGCCTAAACCTCCAAAAGTCCTAAGCGCCCTACACCCCCAGACCCTAATACTCTCTCCAAGCCCCAGAAAGCCCTCAAACCCGAACTCGCAAAAACCCCAAAAAGCCCCACACCCCAAAACCCTAGACCCAGAACCACTATAAAGCCTCAAACCACCAAAATCCCTGACAACCCTAAACACCTTACACCCGAGAATCCCATAGACTTCTTACAGAACCCTTTAAGGAACCCTCAACGCCTGGACCTTTACGGGGATGGCCGAGACACCACATCGACGAGGCGCAGGGGCAAAGGTGGCCGCCGTTTGGCCTGGTGGAAAAACGGCTGCAGGGGCAGGGGGAGGGTGGGTTGGGGACTAGGCTTCTGACATAGGGGCCTTCATGATAAGAACGGGGTTTGGGATCATCGACAGCAGTTACCAGTACTTGAAGTGGCTGGGGCGGTGCGGGGTTTCTAATCTAGGCAAATCTTTTGGGGTACATTTCTAGTAACATTATCTTTGGACCTTGAAGATATATTCTGAGTAATTGTACAGGGCCAGACGGGGTAAACCCTAACCCCCTGCACAGGGATCATGCCAGTGTGGCTTTAGCCTTTCAGGTCTCCGGTCCGGGGTGAAGGTTTTGGGAATTTCGGGTCTTGTTTGGGAACTTGGAGGTTTTTGGGAATTTTAAGCTTTTGGGGTTTAAGGTTTAGGGCTTTGCGGATTTGAATCTTCGCGGCTCAGGCTGAGGCTCGGCTTGTAGGCACAGGTTTTGACAGCTCAGTGGGGGTCTAGGGATTTAGGGTTCTTAGGGCTTTCCCGTTTGGGGTGAAGGGCTTCAAGTTGTAGGATTTTACTGCGTTTGGGGCTTGGCTTCAGCGCTTCGGGATTGAGGGATTTAAAATGCGATTCCTGCCGTGAGCTGCTCCTTCAGGATGCAAGGTGTGCAAGCTAAGCCATGTAAGGGACTAGTATTGCCACAACTGCCGGCTCGTATCAGCGGGTCCTAGCTCCGCTGCGTTGCAAGAGTCTATGGCCATGCTATGCTCACACTGGCATCTGGAATACCACGGAACAGTATCGGCTTGTTGTTGGTGGCTGCTTCTTAAACTCTGCCAGCAGTTGAGGTATGTTCCTCAACAGGAAGATTCTCTAATATATATATATATATATATATATATGATAACTGTAATCAGGAACCCACCCAAATAGTAGAGGTAATTATTAAGGCCCCTATTCTTAACTCTCATAGTAGCCCTTATAGAAACCCTTATAGTATCCCTTTTAACGAACCCTTTTAAGGAACCCCCAAGAAGGCCCACATATTATCGTCATGCCAGGCGGCGAAGATGCTGATTTCCGCCCGCATGAACTCGTCAAGGCGGGACTCCTTAGCTTGTCGTCAGCAGATTCGGCGCCGAAGGCGCGCTTTTTCGGGTTCAGGGTTTAGGGTTTAGGGGTTTAGGGTTTTAGGGATTTAGGGTTTTAGGGGTTTAGGGGTTTAGGGTTTTAGGGGTTTAGGGTTTTAGGGGTTCAGGGTGTAGGGCTAATTCCTTTTTGGCCAAGGTTCCTTGTTCTCGCATTCCGGGTTTGGGGTTGCTCAACATGAACACAATCCTTTGTTTCGGGCGTGAATCTTGCGTGACGGTGCCAACCTAGTGGCCACGACACTTGGAGTAGGGTTTTGAGTGCATTGTAAGCTACATGGGGACTACAAAGAATACTACTACTAATTGCCAGTTACACCAGAAAACCCACATAAGCAACACCCTTTCATAAACAGGCCCCAGAACAACACCCAGAAATCAACTCCTACACAAAGGGGTCAAGGGCTATGATGTTACTAGTTGTTACCCTGAGGCCTCGGGACTGCCATACCCCTACTTGTCGGGTATCATGTGGAACTAAAGGTTGACCCTTTTGGTTTTACAAGGATTATTTAGGGACTATACTACCCCAAAAAGGTCAAAGGTTACCTACTCTACTACTAGGTACTTGTAACATCTTAGAAACCTCGATCAAGGTACGTATAACCTCACTAAGGTCCATGACCCTCGAAGCCAACTATTCCCAAACACTTCAGAGTTCCGTGAAGTCTTGTTATAGCAGGGACTAGAAGCTGTACTGAACTTAGAACCCTAGCAAAAATTCTAATTTTAGCTGTTTCTTAGGGATTATCATAACCAAAAACTAAAAACTATTTCTAAGTACCCCTAAGGAAGGGGGTAGTGCCACGAACTATTTCCCGACCTCGACATGAAACACAAATTCAGAGTCTGCTCTGGTGATGTCGGTCGCGACTGTGACCAGGACAGCGGTGATCATGCTATCGCTGTGGATGACGACCGGCTTCTGGAGTCGAGTGTGTGTACGAAACTGCGGAAACCTCAAACGGCTTTAAGGGGGTTTCTTTTAAGGTAATCTGGAGGCCTTAGTAACCAGAATAGGTTTTTAGAGCATATTATGCCATCGTTACAATAAGGAACACCCCAAAATAGTATAGGTAACTATTAAGGCCCCTATACTAAACCCTTATAGTAGCCCTTATAGTAACCCTTATAAGGAACCCTATTCTAATTAAAGGCCCCTATGTTTCCAAGGTCCCGAGCCGCAGACCCCAAACCCTCGGCCGCAAGAGCGTATCGTTCTTTTGGGTTTACAGTAGAAGCCAGAAAGTTGGAATATCATTATCGTATCCCCTTTAAGGAAAATTATAGGAACCATATTCCAACTTTCTGGAGTTCCCTTTATTCACACCTTGAGCCCACCGGGGGCAGAACTTCACAGCCCAAGTCTTCGCCAGGAACCCTTACAGTAACCTTATAGCATCCTTATTCCACCCTGACAGGGGCCCGTATAGAACTCGACCCTTAAAGGAGCCACATTATAGTACCGTTCAAAGGAACCTATAGGAACCTTAAAGGGGCCTTTATAGTACCCTTCAAAGGGAACCCAGCTACAGCCCCGGTCTTCGCCGAGCCGCCGAGATGATGGCATGATGAGGGCTGGTGCTTCCGATTCCTTGCAGTAGGGCAGAAGGGGGGGGGAAGGGGCTCCTACTGCTGATGATATAAATCCTGAGAACCCTAAACTATGGGAATTATGGTATATTCCTTATTATGGGTAATGCAGCATTTATATCATCAACCGTAGAACTCCTTTAAAGGGGCTCCTTAAAGGGGTCTACAAGGGATTTACATTAAGTATAGAAGGTCTTAGGGATTAGGGCTCCTTTAACAGGTTCCTGAAAGGGGTCTATAACGCATCTATAGTAACTATACCAGGGTTCCATGGGCAGCAGCACCCAGAGACTCCAATATCCCTTAATTCAGGAATATACCTTAGGTTATAGTAGGACCCCTAACGTGATTTAAGGAATATTCATTTTTGTAAGGGATATTGGCAGTCTTTAGGTAATGTATAAATAAAGTATTAAGCCCCCTACATTAGGGTAGAAGTTGGGGTTCACGCTTGAGGCTTTGGGGTGGCGGGTGGCGTGTTCAAGGCCTTTTCGAGGGATTTTGTTTGGAGGGCCTCGGCCTGTTGGAGTTGGCCTTCTGCCTACAGTATGATCATCCGATGGGTTTTGTTGAAGTTGGTTATTTCCAAAGGGGAAAGGAGGAACCCTTAGTAAGGACCCCTAGGTACATACCCTTAATGTAGCTCTTGTATACCCATTATATAGCCCATTATAGGGTAGGGGTCCCCATGAAGGGTCCCTCCTTTTCCCCTTTGATTATTTGCATTTGAAGACCTCGGGGCTTTGCAGCCCTCCACGTTCTCCTTGTCCTGCGGATTGCGGCTGAATGTGGGTGTGCGCTTCAATCGTCTTGCCAGACCACTTAAAGGATCATGGGGCTTAGTAATTGGGGTTATAAACAAGGTAACCATACTTATAATTACTTATAACCCCGATTCAGGTACTTATAACCTTACTTACGAAGTCCCATGATCCTCCAAGCATGGCATGTCACATGGCATCGCCTTGAGGGCCGCAAGCTGCCGAGATGCTACCTAGCTTCCAGAAATTTGGGGTACCCTTTACTTTGGCGGATCATACTATTTAGGGTACTATATTATTAGGGTCCCTTATTTTCGGAAACCCCCGATATCGAAAGCCACTGCAAGTCCAGGGATGCGATAGTCCACCCTAACCCCACCATCCTGAACTCCCAAACCCTAAACGCCTTAAACACCCGTAAACTCTAACCCCCCCCCCCCCCATACCAAATCGCGCAATGAGCCGAAACACCAAAACACCGGTATTAACACCTCGAAACATCCGTGACACCTTTTGCACAAGTTGCAACCGCTTGTTCCTCCATTACTCTATACATATGCGAATAGACACACATACAGTACTGTTACTATGACAATTACCATTACTACTACTATTACACACATACATATGTAGATAGACACGCGTACATACATACATACACACATACATACAGGTATTCTACCGAAACCCACCGGCGATGAGGTTCGCGCGACGAAGGCTACGGCCAAGGCATGAGGGTGCCAGGGGCCTCGGAAATGTGCTAAAGGGTCTAACAATGGTGTGCAAGTGGGAGTTTCCGAACATTAGGGGTACCTTTAAAGGGATCCTTTTAAGGGTTCTCTAAGGGTTCTATAAAGGGTTTAGGGTATAGGAGTTTCCGAAAGTTAGGGTACCCTATTTTGGGGTCGCAATAAGGATCCTAGTATTTAGGGTGCTATATTAGGGTCCCAAGTAGTTTAAAAAGGGTTGCAATGGTGTTGGAGTGATCTTTCTAAGGAAGGTGCTGCGAGGTCCGCGAGCGAGGAAAATTATCTTATTCAGTACATGTCGCCAATACTTGGAGCTTCATGGGACTTCGCAAGTACAGTTATAAGTACCTTAGCTAGGCTTACAACTAGTTAGAAGCATAGTTACCTTGTCTATCACCCTTGCTTCTAAGTCCCGTGAACCTTTTGTACTAGCTGCTTAACAAGAGCCCGATCATACTAAACCCTAAAGCCCAAGTGGGCCGGATAAAGGGGGCCTTAACGGGCTTGAACCGGGGGTATTGCAGGGGTATGATAAAAGGGGGTCTGAATGATTAGAACATGGCTTTGGAGATATATTTGATTGGAAACACAAGACAAGCCCCAAGGAGCAGTATGTCTAACTATTCAGGCTTCTATACTAAATCCACAGCCCTGAGGAATTGAACAAGGCTGACGTAGTTGCGGTGGGTAGTAAGCCCCCACCCTAGAAAGCTCTAACATAGGGGCCTTAATAGTTAGAATAGGGTCGTGGGGTACAAAATACTATAATTATAATAAGGAGCCCCCAAAATAGTAGAGGTACTTATCAAGGCCCCTATATTATCAAACCTGACCCCTTAATTAAGGAATATTCTTTAAATTGTAGTAGGATCCTTGGCATGATTTAAGGTATCTTGCTTAAGCAAAGGGTATAGAGTCTCTGGGTCTATATTATGATCATAATATCTTAAAGAACCCCCCCCCCAACATAGCAGGTAAGTCTTAAGGCCCTTGTATTATCAAGCCCCGACCCCTTAATTAAGGAATTTTCCTTAAATTGTAGTAGGATCCCAATATGATTTAAGGAATCTTCGATAATTAATTAAGGGGTATCTGGGTTTACCAAGCCCTGACCCACGGATGAGTTCGACACGTCGAAACTCCCAGACGACGCCCCCAAGGGTTACATACACGAGGGTAGAGCGAGTTGGCAGTTTCCGAATATAGGGGACCCTGATATACGGTTGATGATATAAATCCTGCACTACATTAAGGACCCTAAACTATGGGAATTATGGTATATTCCTTATTATGGGCAATGCAGGATTTATACCATCAACCGTAGTACCCTGAACACTAGGATCCTTATAAAAGGACCCCAAACTAAGGTACCCCTAATTTTCGGAAACTCTCACATACACAAGGGTAGAGCGAGTTGATTGTTTTGGGCTTTGCCGGGCTTTATAGAGGCGTACAGGGCTCCCCAAGGGCTTTATAGTAGTTCATGGGGTTTCTGTACTGAACTTAGAACCCTAGCAAAAATTATAAGTTTAGCTGTTTCTTAGGGATTATAATAACCAAAAATTACAAATTATTTCTAAGTACCCCTAAGGTTTAGGGTTCAGGAAGCTACGAGTTGAAGTAAGGTGACTTTACTTGATAATGCACGCCACAGACACAAATCATTTGTGTCCCTGGAGCAACCAGCATAATCTGCTAAGCAGTCTGCAGCTCTACTTTCATTGCACCACAGTCACCACCCCAGTCCGCATCACCCCATGTCACAACGGATCCGTCGCCAAGAATGGCAGCAAAAGCGCGACGGTTGGCTTGGATCTGCTGCACATTTTTCAGCTCATGTTGCACAGCTCTAGTGTCGCCACCAGCCTCAGCATCACCCCAAGTCACGACGGATCCATCGCCACGAATGGCTGCGAAAGCATAGTACGTGGCCTGGATGTGCTGCACATTCTTCAGCTGGTCCTGCACAGCACTACTGTCGCCACCACAATAAGCGTCGCCCCAGGTCACGACAGATCCATCACCACGAATGGCTGCGAAAGCATAGTACGTGGCCTGGATGTGCTGCACATTCTTCAGCTGGTCCTGCACAGCACTACTGTCGCCACCACAGGAATACCCACCCCAAGTCACGACAGATCCGTCGCCAAGGATGGCCGCGAATGCGCATGCCGGATCATCTGCGCTGACTTGGATCTGGGTGGCTTGGATCTGCTGCACTTCCTTCAGACGATCCTGCACAGCACTACTGTCACCACCATGGTCAGGATCGCCCCACGTGACGACGGATCCATCGTCAAGAATGGCAGCAAAAGCGCGATCGTTGGCTTGGATTTGCCACACATGTTTCAGCTCATGCTGCACAGCTCTGGTGTCACCACCATGGTCAGCATAACCCCATGTCACAACGGATCCGCCGCCAAGAATGGCAGCAAAAGCGCGACGGTTGGCTTGGATCTGCTGCACATTTTTCAGCTCATGTTGCACAGCTCTAGTGTCGCCACCAGCCTCAGCAGCACCCCAAGTCACGACGGATCCATCGCCAAGAATGGCGGCAAAAGCCATCTCGGCAGCTTGGATCTGCTGCACATTGAACAGCTGTTCCTGCACAGCACCACTGTCACCACCACAATAAGCGTCGCCCCAGGTCACGACAGATCCATCACCACGAATGGCTGCGAAAGCATAGTACGTGGCCTGGATGTGCTGCACATTCTTCAGCTGGTCCTGCACAGCACTACTGTCATACACGTTGGATTCATCACCCCAGGTCACGACCGAGCCATCACCACAAAGGGCTGCAAAAGACTGGTACGTGGCCTGGACCTGCTGCACATTCTTCAGCTGATCCTGTGCAGCACTACTGTCGCCACCCATAAGAGCATCGCCCCAAGTAACGACAGATGCATCACCCAGGATGGCCGCAAACGCTCTACCGCTCCAACGTACTTGAGCTCTTGTGATGTGCAGTGTCAGTGAATCGCCATCCTTCACGTTGACATCTTCGATTTGTGCACCCGTGTCCAGCACGGTTCCAGACGAGTCCAACAGACGCCCCTTTACTCGAAGTGCGATCTCTGCCCGATGCTTCAATTGTTCCACCTGTTCATCCAAGCTGGCGCTCACCTGTGCTCCTTTGCCACTCAGCAGTCTGACTTCAACAGTAACCGACATTTTGCACGCCACCGCAAGTCTAAGTCCTAGAGGCCGGTTAGATATCAGTTAGATCATACTATCAACAATGGTAAGAACGAGTAAATGGCGTGTTGCGAGCATCACGCTGATGATAGTGGCATCGTCGGAGGACCCGCATTCGAGTTGAATAGTGCTAGACCCCGACAACCTCGGGAATGATCTAGGGCTTCGTTTTAGGGTTCCGTAAAGTTACGTTGGGTATACAATTGGATATCAGTACTCGGATGGCTGAGTGATGCTCTGGACACTACTCCGAAATGGATGTCAACTGTGTGAACCGCTCAGTGGGTGGGAAGTTTAGTCTTCCTGATGATGTACCTAGATCTTCCCAAGCCCCTCAATTAAAAACATACAATCAGAGTAGGATCCCTGATATGATTGAGGTCCTTCCTATACATAACCGCTACACCCTAAACCCTAAAGGTATATTCCTTAAGTAAGGCATTTTGGAAGATTTGGATGTAAGGATCCTATCAACTCGGGTCTACTATGGGGGTCGGAATGATTACCAATATGCCCCTGGTATCCCATTATAGCCCCGATTGGAATTCCAGTATATCATACCCCCAAAACCCCAATCAACAAAGCGCGTTCCTTTTTTTGACGGCCCCTCGTTCTCCGAAACTTTAGGGCGCCATATTAGGGTCCCCTGTTTTCGGAAACTTCCAAGTAGTTTAGAAAGGGTTTGCAATGGGGGCCCCTCGCTCTCTCCGAATTCTGAATCTCTCATGTCATGCCAGGACCTCGAAACTTGACGATTGCAACGGTTGATGATATAAATCCTGCATTAGTTTAAGAAACCCTAAACTATGGGAATTATGGTATATTCCTGATTATGGGTGATGCAGGATTTATACCATCAACAGAATTGCCTCCAATATCCCTTGATTGAGGAATATGGGAGTTTCCGAAATAGTGGTGGCCCTTCTTTTGGAGTCCCTTATGATGGGGATCCTACTTAGGGTCCCCTGTTTTCGGAAACTCCCATATAGGGTTTAGGGTTCATATTCGGGATCCTACTATACTAAAGGTACATTCCTTAACTAAGGTATATTGGAGTCTCT